AAATCGGACAGGACTGGTCTCCAGGACTAACAAAAACGGCCCTGCTGGGGCAGGGCAAGAGGTTTAACCAAACCAAAGGATTTTTTTTGTTTCCCCCCCGTTCTGCAACGTTACGCTGCGGCACAGTGGGAGCTCTTGGAGGTCGGAAGCCGAGATATACACACAGAGGATAGCACCGTTCGGCTATTAAATACCACCGGCCAGATGTACCTCCTGGGTCAGGATGTCCCTACACGGCCGACTGCCGGAAACTGGGAGGATGTATCCGGATAAGGCTTGTCCAAAACGCGCCGTATTCCCCGTCCAGGTCCAGGACCTCGGCTCCGAGCCTCGCTGGGGAGAACTGGGCTGACCCCATGTGGTCACGGCCTTGTTATGGCACGATTTCGTTTTTTAAAAAGTCATGACTCTTCACAGTTACTTAGGTAAAACGCAAAAATCTACCTCACACCCGTCAAATCTTTCCATCAAGAAAAAGGCACCGTGGAGGGAGTCAAGCTAAACCCCGCTCCGTCATTTTTCGCGCAGTGGAAACGCGTCTGCGCTCCCAGTTTCCCCATTTAGCCAGCCAAAGCAGCGCTTCCCCGTTTCTTTTTGTGCACGGGAGCGGGATATGGTGTTCGTTTTTTAGCACGGATGAGACCTTCCCGCTCCTCTTAATCCCTCAAAACGAAGGAAATAGAGAAGGGACAGGAGGGCAAAGCTCACACCCAGTTCGTGCCTTTCCCTTGCAATAAAAGGTTAATAGTCGCGGCGATTCACCCACGCAGCCCCCAGCCCTGGCTCCACCGGACAAGCTCGGGGCGAGCATCGCCCCCAGATTTTGGGTGTGCCTGAGCCCAGGGAGGTTGGTGCGTGTCATCTGGTCACGCTGGGCCCGAAGAAGTAAAAACTACGTAATGTTGATTGTTTCCACGGTAACAGTGAGTGATTCATTCTGAGGGTGAAGTAACGGGGGAAGAAACATGGAAAATGAAAATCATGTTTCAGAAGCACGTCGTGTAATTACCTTGTTCAGCAGGCCTCCTGCTCCACGCTACAAGTGTGCCTTGACCTCAGCTATTTATAAAACAGTCTCTCAAGGTGATCTCCAAGTTGTTTTTTTATTGAAAAGGAAGAAAAACCCTCACTCATGCCCCCTGCCAGCCTTGGGGGCTGAACGAGGCCTATCCCAGCACAGGACAGCAGGTCTTGTCCAAGGGGAGCGATGGGAGCCTCCAAAAACAATCTCCCAAAGATGAAAGTTATCAAAGCGAGCGATGCTTTCATGGCAAAAGCTGCTGCTACCTGCGGTTCCTCAGGAGAAAGAGGAACCTTTGCACAGGCCTTTAATCCGAGCCATCCCTCCACAGGTGGAGCCCCTCCTGAGCTTGTGCCCAGCTCTGCATTAGAGAGCAGCCCTCCAAAGCCACCAAGCAGCTTGCCGGAGGAACTCCGGAGGCCAAACCCCCGCGAAAACGCGGGGAAACGCACGCAGAGCGCAGTTACGCCCCGTCATCCGTTGCTTCCGAACCGCGTCACACGGATCTTCGCTGACCTCACGCGGTCCGGGCCTCAGTTGTACCCTTCCCCCAGAAGAAAGCCCTGCGGTCAGTCAAAACGAATACCAAAATCCGGCTGAAAAAAACAACCCCGCCAAGCTGTAAAGAGAAAGCAGGCACGGAGGAGAGGAGGGTGTGATCCAGCAGACACACCACACACCCCCCCACCCCGCCCCGCGCTGCGAGGAGCAGGGCTC